ACATTCTATACAGTTTCACCCTTTGAAGAATCTGGCATTGACCTAGAAAATATTTATATGGGCTACTGAAAAATAAAATGCATTCAGGGTACTTGTTTTTAAACGCCGAAAAAGATTAGAGAGATTAGAGATGTAAAATTTAATGTCGATTTGTAGTAAAGGTGTTCAAAGTTTGTCACTTCGAAAAGTGACGTTGATCATGTGTGATAGATGTTAAACTCCGACAAGCAAATATGCTGTTATAATCAAGTGAGGATCTTTCAGATCTATTAACAATACTATATGCATTGAAATCAGCTGTTTATGACATTGTAAAATTCTATAAACAAGACGGGTTTAAATCTTTACTTAACTCCAAAGAAACTCATCAAGATAAGTGTATGAGGTATAGAATGCGAACATTGAAAAACAATGACGTCATGAGACTAAATGGTGACAGCGCCGGGTGATCATGTAATGTCTTATTTATTTTATGATAATTTGGTAAATATTTTAGGTATCAAGCTAAAAATTTCAACATTTATTTAACATTTGTTGTTTTATGTTCATTAAAAATTTTGTAAGCATAGACTACATAGCATTAATTTTATCGCAGAAGTCCACGAACTTTTCGAACAACCCTCGTATTTTACAATTTGTAAATAATCATGTGTTGAAGTCTTGAAAAATATGAAAAACTTGCCATAAGTAATAAAAAATATCAAAACGACAAACTGATTTACAACCCAAGAATGGGTTATTGTGTGTTATAATTTTTAAAACAATGTTTTTAAAAAATACACATCAGATGTCAGGAGTGCAACACAATAGGGTAAAATAGGGTGATTCAAAATCTATTATTTTTTTTGTAAGAAAACTTGTATATCAAAATTATTTTTTGACTTAGATTTAAAGAACTTTAAATTGATTTAAATGGACAAAAATAATTTTGGGTGGATTTTATTCTTTCATATTTCTTTCATATGAAAACTTTGCAAACCAGAATTGAAAAATTAATGTAAAATAACAATTAAAAAGCATTTTTTTAACTTATACGTACAAGAGGAAAACCCAATTTTGGTTTCGATCTAATCATTTATATCCCTGCTCCCATTTTGAAGCATAAAAATTTACCATTTCTTTTGACTATGTATTTTTCTGTCTTTTCTGATGTAGTGATATTTTCTTTCTTTCAAATAAAGTTTTACTAATAAAAAATCTGAAACTTTTTTTTATCAATTGTCTATTCCATTGCAACTTCAGGAATTTTAACTAGAATGCATGTACAATATGATGATATAAGTGAAAAATATGTTGAATTGTATGTTTTTCAAAAAAAAAAAATCAATTTAATTTACCCTTGAGTCTATTTTTTAAAAAAGTTTCAAAATTAATTCGTAACATGGTTTTGTTAGTTTGTTGTTTAACGTCCCTCTCGAGAATTTTACACTCATATGGAGACGCCACCACTTGCCGGTGGAGGGCTGCAAATTTTGACCTATGCTCGGCACTAAGGGCTATTGAGCAGTGAGGGACCTTTTTTGTGCCAGCACCTACAGCGACACGGGACCTCAGTTTATACGGTCTCATCCGAAAGACCGGTCTCCACGTCCCGCAGTGGATTCGAACCCGCGACGTAAGGATCAACTCCTTACACCGTGACTCTAGAGCAGACGCTCAAACCACTGCGCCACACGGGCGACTTGTAACATGGTTAAATTAATAAATTAATACTTTATATATATATATATATATATATATATATATATATATATATATATATATATATATATATATATATATATATATATATATATATATATATATATATACGGGGGATTTCATTTAAAAAATGTTTTGCATTGAATTGCAATACAGATTAAAAATTTTAAATAAGAGGAGGATGAAAAATAAAGCTGGTTTGATGTGGATTCTTGATTAATGTATGTTTCAGCCATTAAAAACCTGAACAAATTATTTTGAATTTTTCTGTAATATAAAACATGCTCTTTATTCTGTCCCTTGTTACGGAGAAAAATAATGTCGAAACAACTCGTGAATTCATTTAGCTTAAATTTTCGAACAAAGGTTCAGACGCTGTAAACATTAGCAACATTCTTAATTATAAAAAAAGTTCAGTATTGTATTCCACCATATAAAGTTGAAGTATACACCTTGCATTTCTGCAGATATTCTGCATCCAAAATTTTCAATTATAAACAAAATCTTAAGTGCAAAGATATTGACCATCTAAAATAAAATCCGCCTCAGTGTTCTTGTTCTTCCTCCTCTTTCAAGTACCCGGTATACTCCAGCTGGACACATTGTTACCGGTGATGTAAGTGTATTACAAAATGACAACCTAAAAGCAATCATTTTAAAAGATCCTTAATTCAGGGAGACCAGGCCCCAAAACGATAAAATGAGAACAGACTTAAGTCAAAATTTCAATTCTGTATAACCTTGGAAATGATCAAGGAAATAAGAACAAATTTTCAGTAACTGTTTGTATTTGAATATTTTACAAACCTGCAATTTTTCAAAACTGTTTGTTGAATCAAAATAAAAATTTCAAATCTAAATTTGACTTAAGTCTGTTGTCAGTTTATGGTTTTGGGGCCAGATCTTTCAAATGGCGGCAGTACCTAATTTTTTATGATGAATTTCGTCACTGAGTTTGCCAGGCTATTGGCAAAATATGAAGAGGAAGACTTTGACACGCTGTCAGAATGGATATTAGGCATTAGACATTAAAGGGAAAATGCGAACTACCTATTATTTCGTTTTAATTAGATTAGATATATAACCTTGGAGACAAGGTCTTCCAACTATCTGTTGAAATTTTGTTGGGCACTATTTGCCAATATGTTTTTAAAATCCTCTGAAGCAGAACTCATTCAAAATTTTCTACATGAGAAGAGGAAAATTCTTGCTATGGCGTTCAATTCGACTTTAAGATATATCAAATTATTTCAAGTAACCAAAGTTACTTTCGTTCATATGTCGACTCGATATATCCCAGTGAACTCGAAATAAGACGCCAAAGAGTCTGCTAGATCTGTTTCTTGTTTGGATATTTTACTGACTATAGATGACAATGGCCAAAAAATAACTAACTGTATGACAAATGGGATGACTTCAGCTTTTACATCGTCAACTTTCCATAATTATGTAGTAATAGTCAAGCAAATGGTGTTTATGTCTCTCAGTTGATTCGATACGCAAGAATATGTTATGGGTACGATCAATTTCTAAAACAGGACAGGCTTCTGACAAATAAGTTGATAAAAGTAATTTATCCTAATAAAAGATGATATCAACAATCAAACAGAGCAATGGAACTTTAGAAGTGATGAAAAATAAAACAGTTATAATTATATTGTTTTATTTTTTAGAAATACGTATGCGAAGCAAGTCAAAGTTTTGATGAAGCAATAAATGTATTGTGGTCGCTTCTAATTTTAACAATCCATTATTGTGGTGACTGACCAAGTTAATATACATCTGGAATCAAAATTACAAGCAAAATACCCACGTTTATAATTTAAATGGATCACTGTCTTAGGAATTTTGATGCTGCTACATATGTACATGTATCTTCCTTCAGCTGAAGTTTTTATAACTTTCATACAAAAAAATTATTTCAGAAATCTACGTAAGCTTTGCTTTTTGACAGAAAGATCCATTTATATAACAAGGAGACTAAATTGGAGATTCAGTATTCATGATTGGTCATATGCTAATTTGTCAGGTTTCACTTTCCTGGCGAACAAAGTTACAAATAACATTTGTCCTAAGATGTTTCATTCTGAGAAACTTTACGATCCTCATATTAAGGACTGGTTCAATCGAAATGTTCAATTTGCGTGTTAAGTGTAGATACAAATTGGTAAACTAGAATGTCATGCATATTAACTAGATATTGTTTTTTTCCGTCCTTTTATCATTCTCCTTTCTAACTTTCCATTTTTTCAATTATTAATGTTCTGGTGTAAGATTCCAATATTTCTCAACAGTATTTTGTCATCAGTTTTGGGAGTCGTTATGTAAGCAGAAAATAGAAATACTCGCTTATTGAATTACATACAGTTTTGGACACTTCTAAGGTCTGGTTTTTATAATACATGTGTACTGGAAAATAAGCTTGATCCACCACAATTGTTATCTTTTCTGTGAGCCATCTTTAGCTTTAGAGAAATATACCGTATCAATATTATTGAGATATTCCTCTTAATTTGAAATTCTGAAATGTCAATAAGGAATGATTTTACAATTAAAATAAAGGAGTATACATCTTTGATAAGCAGACAAAATATGACTCTTATTTTTCCAATATGCGATGACGAGGACTCAATTTTGTTTTAAAAGAAATTGTACTTTAATACGTATAGATGAGATAGGATATTTAAATTTACCTCTTCTGGCTTAATATAATTTAATTCTATGCAAAATAACAGAAAAGCTAAAGGCATTTTATTTTATTTTTGTCAAATCTACAGGTATACGACTCCCACGATGAATTATTTTTTGTTCCATCAGATAAGAGAGGTAACTCGAATAAGTTGCAGACTTGGGAAAATACATAACCAATAAATAAAAAAAATCATGTGCTACACGGAATTTGATATATATTTCCTTGCAATGCTGTGACGAGTATCTACACAAATTGTTTATATCTTGTATATCTTTGCATCAATTATTTTGGATAAAACTTGAAATTGTCACAATTTTGACTTCCATCTATGTTTCTTGCATTAAAATCTTTAACGAAAAAAAAGAATCACATCGAAAAAACAGTTTACAACAACTACATTAAATTTAATTGTATCAAACAAGAAACATTCCGAGAACACTTTTCGCTCAACCAAAGAGGAGTATTAAGGTACAAATACATTTTAAAATGTTGAAATTGTTAATATATATATATATATATATATATATATATATATATATATATATATATATATATATATATATATATATATATATATATATATATATATATATATTAAAACCTTTAACTGATTGATTACCAGATATAAATACTGAGTGGTGTGTAGAACCGGTGCATCACGAGCACCAACCGTATCTTAGAGCGCATGTGCGGTAAGCTGGAGAAAATTCTGAGACTTTCATTTGTTCGGAGATCCACTCGGGACTGACGATAAAGTCTTTATGAAGCACATATTTGGTATTTGTGTAAAACATACTCCTTGGGGAGGAAATATATGGGTCCCTGTCATCCCAATCTGCGGGTGGTGCTACCCAGTCTGAGGAAATGGCAAAAGCAGGTCTTTGTGGCACCACTCTAGAAGAAAATGAATATATGTAAATAGTAAATATAGATTAAACGATGAAAAAGTAGCTACCCTAGGCGCCAGTGAAAAGGATAATATAAAGATACAATTGCAATATAATATGTATGTCAGACCAGAAAACTTGAACCTATTGGGAACTGGAGCACACGGCGGGTGTGACCGGTCAGATGGGGATGCTAACTCCTCCATGACACCTGATCCCACCTCTGTTTTTTGGAGGTCTATGTTTGCTCTGCTGCCGATTTGTATTGTTTTAATGGACTTTGAGCTTGAATGCTGTTCGTTATCTCCATATTTCACCTGCTAGAGACATTTATTTAGGTTCACAATACTTTTGCTTGATTTTTCCCTGCTTGATATTAACATTATACTGTAACAGAAATGTAATATATTTATGTATAATTTAAAATTAACCGTATACTAAAAAGATACGTTTCCTTTTAGTATACGGTTTAGATATGTGTATGGTAACTACATGTACATGTCTATTAGTCTGACAAATATTAATTAATGCTTTTGTAAAGAATAAGATCTATATTAGTCTCTGTCTTTTTCACTGAGTTTAAGAGAGGTTAATGTTATCCCTGATAATCAGCTTATGAACGTGAATTCTATATTTGTTATCATTATAAAGTATTTTTAAAAGAATTAACATCTTGAAAACATTCTGTATCTGTTTGTTCTTTACTTTGAGTGTTTAGTTATTGTCCAAAAATACTGAAATGAAATATATGGAGATAACGAACAGTATTCAAGCTCAAAAGTCCATTAAACAATACAAAATAGGAGCAGAGCAAACACGGACCTCCAAACAGAGGTGGGATCAGGTGCCATGGAGAAGTGAGCATCCCCTGCCGACCGTTCACACCCGCCCTGTGCTCCTTGTCATGATCGGGAAATAACGGAAAAATCCGTCGACAATTCAGTGTGTAAATAATAGCCTAACAATTAGTATGAAAAACGTCAGTCAGCATGTGACTCAATGATAAATTGTATTTGCTGACAATAACACATTCATTTATTATCAAATTCATTTTATCTAGAAACGATGCATAAGAATAAAATAATACAGTAAAATTCGGTTAAAGTCCTGGGGACCTGTGAATTTTCTTCACAACAGCTTTAATTTGTTTCATCTGTACATGTATAAAGAATTCGTCTAAGCATAGTGAATTTGCAATATACAACATTTTCCTTCAAGAATGATTTACAAATATTTTTCAGAGAAGTCTTAAATGTTTCCAGGGGTCAATGTTTGGTGCCCTCTTCACAAATTTGTATTGTTTATATTTTTTTTTTTGAACGATCGCTGTTAAGTTTTCTGATGAACTGACCTTCAAATATAAATACTTTTGAAAAATTATTAGTTCAACAATCCAAATTTTGAGATATTTAAAAACTCCTTATTAAAGATGTAAATTTAATTTTTTTTAAAATCTTAACAGATCAAAATTATGTTTGATATATCAGTAAATTTGTTATATCAGAGATTGAACTTAACGCGTTTTAATACACATGTTGATGATACAGGGATATCAACAATCTCATGAAAAGGAGCACACGGTGGGTGTGACCGGTCGACAAGGGATACTCACTTTTCCTTGACACCTGATCCCACCTCTGATGTTTTCAGGGGTCCGTGTTTGCTCTGCTCACTATTTGAATTTTTTCCCGGACATTTGAGCATGATTACTGTTCATTATATTCACATTTCTTGTACGATCTATCCATAACTTTACCTATCTTCACATTTCATGTATGATCTATCCATAACTTTACCTATCTTCACATTTCATGTATGATCTATCCATAACTTTGCCTATCTTCACATTTCATGTATGATCTATCCATAACTTTACCTATCTTCACATTTCATATACGATCTATCCATAACTTTACCTATCTTCACATTTCATGTATGATCTATCCATAACTTTACCTATCTTCACATTTCATGTATGATCTATTCATAACTTTACCTATCTTCACATTTCATGTATGATCTATCCATAACTTTACCTATCTTCACATTTCATGTATGATCTATCTATAACTTCACCTTTCTTCACATTTCATGTATGATCTATCCTTTGCCTATCTTCACATTTCATGTATGATCTATCCATAACTTTGCCTATCTTCACATTTCATGTATGATCTATTCATAACTTCACCTATCTTCACATTTCATGTATGATCTATCCTTTACCTATCTTCACATTTCATGTATGATCTATCCATAACTTTGCCTATCTTCACATTTCATGTATGATCTATTCATAACTTTACCATCTTCTAAATCAGTGTACAGTGTATATGACCAAATGATGTATTCTTAAATGTTGGGTCTTTGACAATTACTGTCATTGTTTTGGCCAATAAGTATTTGTATATTGTTAAGAAAATATATAATTCTGAGTACATATTCTATAGATTTAACAGTTAAAATCTCCGTTTTGATATAAGATAATCAGTTTTGTATTCTCTTCCTCTGTAATGTTTGTAATGTTAAATAAGAAATTAAAGTAATATATTTTAATTTACCTTTTTATTTACTATTTTGATAATTTTTTTTACACTGCTTTATCCTCTTTTCTCTATGTAGTTACATACATGTACATGTAAATAGTGGTCAAATGTAGTGTGGTTTTCGATATCTTATCCGTTTACTACATTTGTATTAACTCTTGATCATGTATTGCAAATTCAGATTTAAACTTTTAGGTATCTTTTTCTTGTTTTATTTAACTAGCCTATCATTCTTACTTCTTGATTTCGTTCTGCCATCCCTGTATGCTCTTGGCTCTGGACTGTTTCTTTGGCACCTGGTTCGACGCCCTATCTATAAAATGCGGTATAGGCTCTGAATTTCTCAATAGAGCGTCAATCTTAATCGGGGATTTGTTAACTCGCTTGATGATACAAGGAAAATTTGGGGTCACAGGTCTGTTTGTTCGGAGAGATGGGCGTGGACCTTCCGAATTTGCTCCGATTTTGTCTGCGAGGTCTTTTTTAAATGACAGCGGAGGCAAGGTCTTTGACCGAGTTAATCCCAAGATACCATTTTCCTTGAATGCTCTCCTGATTTCGTCAGTTTCTGGAAATTGGTATAAGTGAAGTTATTGTTATTATTGTTCATGGAATGATGTATTTGAATTAAGCCATAAACTTTTATCAATTATGCCGAGAAATGAATGATCTACAACTGGATGTTTTCACTGTAAACAAATCAAATGACAAACAAAATCAAATATTTTACTTACCTGTTTTATTTACAATTTTTAGATGCCTAGGCCGTTTGAAAATGTATTAAATTTGCTTATACGAAAACATTATTCTGAATTAGATATGCAGTATGGTAGAACATTTTATGGAAATCAAATATATCTTTCTTTGACCCAAACTCTCAGTTGAGTAATCTTTGATATGATCAAAGTGTTCTGTAAATCACAGTCTCATTTATCCATTATTTTGGCATCTGGAACTATTTTGCATTGTCATTACTAGAAGTAAAGACAATGTCAAAGAGATCCGCTGTAAACTTGCCAATTTGAATAAATTGACTGTATTTTCTGTAAAACGAAATGAAATCTGAATAATTTACATATCATTCGACCGGTATATTTTCAGACATTGCTTTAGAATATTGATTTATGACTTGTCTATACAATTCAAATGCGTAAAATCACAAATTGTTCAAAATATTCAATCTTTTCAGTCAGAAGTGATCTTATCAAATGTCTGATGTCTTCCTGCTAGATTAAATGTGTAAGAGGAAGTAAAGAAAAACAGGAACCAAAATCTAAGTAGCAATATCCTTCTTACATGTAATAGATAAAATCGCTCTGATTTCTGTCCGATAACATGCTTGCTTTGATATCATGAGTAACAGACAAAAACAGCGTGAAGACTTCCCTTGTATACATTGAGTGAATTGTAAGATGCTACCAAAAAATTAGATTTAATTAGAAATCTTATATATAGACGAATATTTATCAAAACATGACATGTAAAGGAACAGAAACAAAAGATGTAAAACAAAGAAAAACTTTTAGTTTGAAAAATCAACTTAACTACATGTATTTCGTACACAAAATTAAGAAATAAAGGAAATGTAAACTCAATATTTAATCAAATGTTTGGATTAAACTTGCAAGAAAAGAAATTCTTTACTAAAGAAAAATTGGTCACCTTTTCGCCTTAGTTCCATAGTCTCCAGTTCCGATTGGATTCTTGGTGACGAATTAGGAGGGTAGTCCAATGCATCACAGGGCTTAAAGAGAAAATGTCCCACTTATTTAGTCATATATTTTATTTCCTTTGCTGTACAAGAAATCCTTAATGCAAACTAAATGTTTTAAATGTCGGTCTATTTAAACGCTTATTCAGAAACACTTGAATTATTGAAAGGTTTTATATTGGCATGTCTGTTGATTAATATTGGAAATAATTCAACGCTCCTCTCCCAGGCGTGTAAGAATGACATAACGGGTTTCCGTGTATAACGGTCCCTGTTTTAAGGGTCGGTGAATCCTAAAAGCCTTCCATAGCAGAAAATCAAATTTAATTGCTTGAAGAGAGAATCGATAAACATTTAGCCTATAGAACATTATGAATATCGTCTTCCTGTCTATTTACCTGTAATTCATATACCATGCCTTGCAGTGAAAATGACACCAAATTTGGTTAATGTTCTTCCATTGCCAGTCAAAACTACAAAGATTGCAGAAGATTGTCGATTCCTCAACAAAGATTTTTTTTAATCTGATGGGAACGTAGTCCTAATGTTTTGCTGTATATACATAAAGAAGGAAAAATATAGGGTTTATATTTTAATCTTTGTAAAGTGGTGTTTTAATTGCTTAGTGAAAGGTGCACAGTTTAATCGATTTTAGACTTTCGGAAATAAATATTTAAAAGTTGGCAAAAAGCAAAAGCAATCCGTTAAATGATGTTTTTTTGAACATTAAAATCTGTATACTACCTTTATCGAAATAATATTAGCAATTAGTATAGCAATCACTCGAATTCTTTCGTTACAGTAATAATTCAAATAAATTTGAATTCCATTAGGGGGTTACTGTGGAATTATCATTGTTCTTCGAGGACCAATGTTCGTGGATTTCGTGGGTCACTTATCCTGGAATTTACATATAATAAACATATTGATTCATTGAATGAAATATATGGAGATAACGAACAGTATTCAAGCTCAGAAGTCCATTAAACATTACAAAATAGGTGCAGAGCAAACACGGACCTACAAAAAATCAGAGGTGGGATCAGGTGCCATAGAGGAGTGAGCATCCCCTGCCGACCAGTCACAACCGCCGGTGTGCTCCTTGTCATGATCGGGAAATAACGGAAAAATCCGTCGAAAATTCAGTGTGTAAATAATGGCCTAACAATTCGTATGAAAAACGTCAGTCAGCATTTGACTCTATTATAAATTGTATTTGCTGACAAGGTCATTGTATCGACCATAGAACTTACGAAATGATGACTTTAAACGAGACTGCTGATATTCTTGTTTCATCAACTTGTTTGTCAATAATTTACCTCGTTTTAGAAATTGTGCATACGTAGAGAATGCTCTTGCGTATAGAATCAACTGAGAGATATAAACCCCGTATGCAGGTGATGAAGGTATATTGCTTCATAAGTAAGGGAAGTTGACGATTGAAAAGTTAAAGTCATCACGTTTATCATTAAGCTTGGTTGTTAGATTACCATTAACGTCTTTTTCGATTAAAATGTCCAGATATGAAACAGATGTGTCAGACTCTGTAGTATCTTTTATCTCAAGCTATATCGTATCGACATAAGAATGGAAATAACAATTGTTAATTGACAATACGTCGTCGATATATCTAAATGTCGAGATGAAGACGACAGCAAGTGTTTTCTTCTTATCAGGTATAAGATTTTGAAAAATTCTACTTCATATGAATAAAAAAAAAGATTTGCTAATAACGGGGCGCAATTGGTACCCATGGGAATTCCAATAGATTGTTGGAAGACCTGGTCTCCAAACACCACATAGATATTGTCAATGAGAAACTCAAGCATCTTTTTAATGTCAACTTCAGAGTACTTGTGTGTACAATCAGAATGTTTTTTAACAAAATAATTTTGCAAATGACCAATGACAGGTAAGTTCCATTTTTATTGAAAAAGCAGCTGTCAATGATATTAAAAAGCCTGGATTTTAATTTATCATGGGGAGTGGTTGTGTATAAAGTTGAAAAGTCGTAAGTCTTTAAGCTGTTGATTTTGGTAAAATCTTGTAATTTCAAATTTTCCAAAAGTGAATCTACCGTATAAATTACATCCCCACTAACAAATAAAAATTTGCCTGCCCACAAACATTAACCGCCACGAATTAAAATGATTCCACAGTATATCATCACCTCAGTTTCTTATCTTACGTCTCAGTCTATAGTGTATACTTGTCTACATATCGAGGACACCTAAGTCTATAGCGTTACCCCCCTACTTGTCTACACTTCTAGGACACCTTAGTCTATAGCGGTACCCCCTACTTGTCTACACATCTAGGACAGCTCAGTACAATAATTCTAAGGCACCTCAATTTTTAGTGTTACCCTTTTTTATGAAATCATCAAGAGTCCCTAAGTGTCTTGTGTTACCCCCATACGTATGTACACATCGAGGGCACCTCAGTCAATTATGTTACCTTCCTACTTATTATCACCACCTCAGATGAAATATGTGGAGATAACGAACAGTATTCGAGCTCAAAAGTCCATTAAACTTTACAAAATAGGAGCAGAGGAAACACGGACCTCTAGGACATCAGAGACTCCGACTCTTATGATACAGCCTAAATATGTACATATTGAGGGCACTTACTCTCTATAGTAATCCCCTTATTATGTACATATCAAGGACCCCCCCCCCCCCCCCCCACTTATATACATATCTAGGACCATCTACAGTTTGTTTAGTATTTATTTTGACTTCAACTTTCACTTAGTCACAGCAACCTGATTGACCGAGGCAGAGATTCTTATATTTTTTACAAGGGTATCACGTTTCTTGATTGGTGAATTAACGTAAAATTATTGTTTTAATAGAAAGTTCTTACCGATGTGTTTTCCATTATTTCCTGGGAGGTAGTGTCCATTGTTAAAATTCAGAGAAAAAAATCTCAGAGCAATCGAATGTGTACCGCTTTTGTTCGCTTTATACAGACTTATTGTAATAGGCTTATCAAATATATAAATATTAAATAACTATAAATTGATCTTCTGCATGTACAGCTAGTGCTAAAACATTCAAGATTAAAATGCCCATGACCCAGCTAAAGCTATCACTTATTCCCAATATGATAATCTCTTTAAATGTCTTATTTTCAAACAGATTAAAATCTCATTTTCTGACACAACTTACTTTGAAATGAAAGAAAAACTAACTCCGATAGATTTTCTAGATCTTAAACTGCTGCATTTACATATGTCACCAATAATACACATTGGTGACAATTAGCATTAAATACAGCTAAAAGAAACAGTATAACCTGTTAAGCTTTTGTGAACCAATTAAATGCACATTTTGGAAATAAATATATTGCTTCTTAACAAAGGAAAAATAAAAGATACAATGAATTTTGAAATCTTATTTGTTTTCATATCCATGATTGGTTTTTTTTCTAATATTAAGTTGCTTCCCCTTTTGCATGATTAACAGCTTTAATGTTACTAGGTTTGCTGTGCCTTCAGTGTTCAAGGAATTTCTGTTTGAATTTTCGACTATTCCCGCTGAAGTGTCTCCCCATGTCTTTTTTAGCCATTGGCATGTTTTTATCAATGTTTTCTAATTCCACTGTAAATATCACCTAAATATTTTGGATAGTTTTAATCGGTTAATGTTTTTGTAGAATTTTTAGATTGTGTTATTGTTTGAAATGCATATATGTATTAACTATAGAACAAAATACTAGTATAACTGAAATCCAAAATAAAATTACTTACTTTACTGAAAACTTTACTATATTAAAAACTTTTATACTTGAGTTAACTGTGGTATATTTGTGTTAGGGTTGGCAGCAATATAATTATTTTCAATTGTACATTTTATTTAGGTCACAAAACCATGTTAGATCAATTATCTAAGAAAACAAGGTTTTTTAGCACCAAGTAAATTGTACACATTGCATTTTATTTCTTGTTGATTTTTATGTGAAAAACAATTTTGTTTTTTATAGGGTGGGATGAGATTTAGGAACTTATATTTATAAATAGGAAAACGTCTCTTGAATTGCGTTATTACAATTTATACCTGAATAATTTAAAGAAAGTTTTGTATTGTTGTTATCCATGTCTGTCCGTCCATTCTTCCGTCCGTCTGTCACAATATCTTCTTCATTAAACTTCTATTACATTTTAAGCGGTTACCAATTCATTTTGGAATATAATTGGTGGTATCCTGTAGATGTCTAATAAGGTTTTGGAGTTTTGTTTTCACTCTGGAGATTAATTCGGGATCGAAAAACATTTCTCTATTAAAGACTGATTTCCAAACTCCTTTTACATTTTATAAGCAGTTGCCAAATCATCTTTCGGAATATGATTGGTGGTGTACTGTAGATGTGCAATATAGTTTCAAAATATTGAATTTCGCAGTTGAGGCCAATTGAACGTTGAAAATCTATATTTTTCTACAAAATCTTGGATTCCCAAACTCTGCTAATATTATATGCAGTAGAGAAACAATATTTTGGAATATGAATGGTACAAATTATTTTTGGAATTTTCAAATTCAACCTGGGGGTCATTTGGGGTCGGAAAATGATTTTTTTTTTTTTATTCGAAAACAAATCTGGTTCCCATTTGGGGGTCAAAAATGATTAATTTTTTTACGTACAAAGTTCGTGTTCCCAGAACAAATGTTTTACACAGTAACCAGATGATCTTTGAGAATATGATTGCTGGCTGCTTATAAAGGAGAGATTCTTGTACGGTTTCTGACTAAATAAAATATTTTAAGTATATTTGCATAAATGTCCTGTATATTGAAATGTAAGGCATTTTCCCCTCTCACATTTGTACAACATGACATAAAAATGGTAAACTGAGCTTAAAATCTAGCAGGGACTTTATTTTTGGCAAAAGTGCATGTTTAAAGAGGTATAGCGCACTTAGTATACCAAATGGCTACAATATAGCGGATTTACAAACAAGAAATGGTGAAAGAAATAACTCTTTTTTCATGCATGTAGAACAAGAAAATATTACAAGTTTTGGTTTTAACGAGTCACTATCTTCACAATATCAACATTTTGTGACAAAAGCTTGACATTAAATTGTGAAGATGCTGAGACAACTGAATGGATTTCGGGCTGAACATGAATATTCCCAAGAGTACAGACAAATGTTGGAATCCCGCACATAGAAGCACCCGTAGTTTTGCAAAACATTTCACTTTTTGATATATTATATTCAAAATATTTTTGTTTGTTTCAAATACAGTATAAACAAAATCTAAGAAAAGTTTCAAAAGTTTGTCGAAGGGTACTTTTCATTCCATATTTAAATGGTATCTTCGACAATTCTTATATCCCATTTATCATAACCGTATTCATTTTCAGCATAACATGTATACGTCCTATTGTAATCTTGCGTGTCACCGACCTGAATATTCATCACCAGTTCTCGAGTTGGGAGGATATTATTTGGAAATTTTATGTTTTCTGTAAATTCAAATCGATAACCGTCTATAGTGCCCCCGAATGTCTGGTTCTTCATAGCTGTTTCCTTATTCGAGAGTAAATATCCCATATCCATGTCACCACGATCATGTCTGGACGGTTCGTACCACTTGATATTAGAAAGTGGATATGAGTCCACTGAGCAGATAATTCCTCTTTTAGCTGAACTTTTATCCAAAGCAATTTCCAAGTGATCCTTATAAATTTTTGTTTTATCCATGTTGTTTTCTTTCTCCATGTAAATATAAACTAATGGCGGACCTACATTTAGAACAAGGAAGAATTAGAGAAAACATGTTTACTACAAACAGAATCTCATAGGCCCGAGTAGGAACTTGTATAAGTTACGGACATTCTATCTAAAAGTTATGACTACATATAATAATGTTTGAGTATTGTGTTTTAATGAAACAATTTTTTACTTTCTTGAATGACACAACTCTGAAAGCATTGGAAACATTAAATTTATGGCCCGTAAACATGCTTCAATCATGCAATTGCAGCAGAGAACTCTTACGAACAGATAAAGTCTCTGTTGATAACTGAAATTTAATGATTAGTTTGCCTGAACAAAATCAATCTGCTTTAAAACTATGACCTAGTTTTGAAATATCTATTAAATTAACTTTTATGAATTCTATCATCATATTGTGACAAATACATGTAAAGCAAATATATTCTGAAAGTCCAGGAAAAAAAATAGAACTATAATGTATATTTTTTCCCATGATTTAATTGAAAAAAAATATTGGAGGAAAAACTTCGAACAAGTGATTAATGTTTAAGACACAATTTTAGCGTAAAAAGGTCATATTCAATGTACCGTAGCGCCAAAAGAAAGATTCATTTTGGAGGTAAATGATGATGAATTGTCTTTACCCTCATAAGCCTTTAAGTACAGACCGAGGAGGCCTGGTTTGCAGAGAAATGTCAGAAAACGCGTGATGGGACGAACTATCTGTAAGATTCAAGCTGCTTTGATTTTAATTTATTCCAATAAGCGACAGCTTCGAATGTCTCAGAAAATCCCGACTTCGGCGAGATATTCTCGCTACAAAAGCTCCTGAGCGGAATCCATCATGGAGGCGAGTTCATGCCTTGTATTGTTTATAATTAGTAGATATCTTTTTTTTAACATTAAGTTGGGGAATGCCTATGTTTGCGCATAGTCCAGGAAGTGTCATTATAATTATATGAATGAAATGTACGTACAAAGAAATCTCGGAATATAGCAAAGATCAATTCTTTAAAAGAAGGTAACTCTTAATTTCAGTAACGATTTTTTCAGATTTTTTTCAAAATAACTTTGTGAGGTTCTTTTTTCTGGATAGTCATACCGAAGAAAATGAGAACGAGCATACGGTACCTTGCTTGACACTCCAATAACAAGGCATTTGGGTAGTACCCGGGAAGTAACGGTCGAGTTAAGACCTGTTCGACTTGTTCTCCACTAGCCAGTTCACCAGTTTATTAGTATTTCTATGGTTGTTATTTAAAACAACATAGAAATTAAAGTAACGTATTACAATATAACATTGACATAGATGAGTGAGCAGAATATATACATGTAACATATATACAATATGTGAATATGTATAAATATGTTCGACTCTCTCGTTTACGATTTTACTAGCAGGATATTTTAGTAGTACCCAAGAACATTCTGCACTTTGTTCTCAAAGCTTCGATTGGATACCGGTATTTCATTCATATATTGACACTTTCCAAGACTGCAAGAAGGAATAGACATTTCAAAAAATGTTTTTAATAATTTCATATGTTAGATTTTGTTAAAATTTCTGTTTTCTTTGTTTCTTTATTTTTTTTTTATTTTTTTTTTTTTTTCATATTCTTAAAAGGTGTCCGACTCAGATTGCAACAGTCTGATTTTAATAAAAATTGGTACACAATTAGATTAACAAATAATATTTTTAAATACTAATTTTAACTTGATTTTATTATTGTAGTAAAGAAAGCATTAATCTTTTTAATTCTTTCAAAATGCTTATTTTCCTTTAATTTTAGACTTATTTTTGAAAAAAGTTTTTCGTAAGGAAACCTGAAAATACACATTTATGTAAAATAATTTTAAAATAAAAAAAGAACTTGATCTTCTTATCATGAATTGAAATCAATAGATCTAAAATTTCATACTTAATTTCAGGCAACAACGATGAACCGACTCTTGAGCTTATAATAGATGAGAGTGTCTTGCAAAAAATATTAAATTAATAAATAAATGTGTTTTTAAGTGTTAAAAAAAACTATATTCTGATATATACGTCTCAGCATTCTGTAGTAAAATAATTAAATGTTTTTCAGCCATTCTATATCTAAAATTGTGTATGAAATCAAAGAAGTATTTACATATTTTCATTTCTACAAGTTCCTTTGAGAGAAAATATCGTAATTAACCATTCGATAATTCTTAGTCACATACCTAGCACAACTGTTTCAAATGTTTGATTGCAAACTGATCTTCCGGAGATGAAACTTTCACAACGATATGTTCTGGGCACACATGATCTAGATATGTTGCTAATTTTAAGTATTTCCCCCGTGATATGTAGAACTGGAAAAAATACAGTGAGTTAGCACAATACCTTGTTATAAAAACAATTAAAGCTGAATTACATGAAAATAGGCCACAGCTTCCTAGAATCTTCAGATAACTTTTCGTGTTCTTGTCTTACAATGATTTTATTTTTGAAACTTTAAGACCTCAAAAGATCGGTCATATCTTTATAGATTGGACATAGCTTATCAAATCTTTATAAATTGGACATTGATTGTCAATTGAACCCAAAAACCTGTCTAAGATTTTTTAAAAATATATGGCAAAGAATTGCAGTCTACACTGTTTGTTAGAAGTTTCATTTTACATGAGTCTAAAGTATTATAAATAACACTTCCTGAGTAAAGACATGGGGAAATGACTTGTATATACATAATTTTATACATACGTGAATTGTATATATATACATACATGAATTGTATAGATATACAAACATTACTTGTATATCGATATACATACATGTGCATTACATACATGACTTGTACGGATATAAATTCATGACTTGTGTATACAGATAAATGACTTGTACATTTTGTAGTACATATATGGCTTGTACAAACATACATATAATTATATAACTTACATGTGTTTTCCTTGTTGTTATTACTGGCAAACCACCGGATGTCTGGGTTAGAAGTGTAATTTAATGTGACGTCACACCGCAGCCTACTGCTTTCCCCCTCTACAAGATTTACCTCTGTTGTGTTGCCATTACCATTACAAACCTCTGTTGAACCAATCAGAAGTCAAATATATTCAATTGTAAAAATACAAATTGTTCTATGAAAAAAATTATTCAAGTCAATTGTTTGATCAGTACGGAAATACTAATAATGGTGATGGTGGGAGCAAAATATAGTGAAAGAATAATGTACAATGTATCATATGTATATGAAGCATAATGAAACTGATATTTTTAAGGAAAAAAAAATCTAAGTTCAGACTACTCCAGGTCATCATTGAATATATTCATAACAGCATGTTATTATAGCAGATTTATTTAGAGAAGACTAGAATTAAGATCTATTAAAAATCTGAACACCAACCTTTGACGCCATCAGTTGTTCTTCCTGATTCACGTGTTGTGTTCTGACAGAAATAATTGAATGGGAAACAGAACAACACGAAGACAATGAAAAGATACCACATTAGTTCCACAAGTAAGAATATTTCCGCGGAAGAGGAATTCTTGCACGGTCATTTGTTATATATAAACTCCTGTGCACGCTAGACTCTACTTAAATTTAGTGCCGACATCCGGTGTAAGTTATACGTTGCATTTCATTGTGACCGAGTGTACCCAGTATCTGATCTAATGTAATCTCTACATAACAGGAAGGTACATTTGGAAGACAAAATGCTAAACATGGATAAATACATTAGTACTTTTACTATTTTTATTCATATATATTGAAAAGTGGCGACTGTCTGGAAAGAATGCCGCTATTAGCGTAGATATTTTTTTTTTGTTTCCCAATAGTGTATTAATTTATTAATCACCAGAAACACGATTCAATGTTTTATGTATTGATGTTCTACGATTTGCTCTCATATTATCACCAATATTAAATCTGCCTGAATTGTAAATAAATTACATTATTATTCGTTGGGAAGGAGTGGAAAAATTAACATAATTTGCTTAGCACTTCTTAATCCACCTCTAATTTCAAATTGGTAAGAGGAAAAAGCTTGAAAGACTCTTCCATTTTTATTCAGTATTTTTCTGCATCGACAGTAACTTATTGTATCAATTGCTTTTTTTCTCTCTCTCTTTCTCTCTCTCAGTGTTTGAATTGGTCGAGTTCATGTGAGCATGGCTCTTTTGCTCCAAGTATCTGGGTTTTTTTTTAAAAAAGATATGTTTAATATTTTTGTATTTTATTATATTTCTAATATTTTTATTTTTAATTAGTCTCTTTCGGTGTATACACTAAATAAATCTGGATTTTAAACATAAATATCGTCCTTATTGCTCAAAAAAATGCTCAACTCTAATTTATTCATCGAACACCAAATAAACCAATAAGTACCTCCGTTATTAAATTGATTGAAAACAACTCACAATCTAACAAAATGTCGACAGCCGTTTATTTCGAAGGATTGAGACTAACTGCTCTGTAGTAAACATAGAATTTTTTCTATAGTTTTAGTTCCAATTTAATCATAATTGTAGGAAAACACTGATTTAATTTATGGAACTAATATACGAGATACTTTATACAAAGCAGTTTGCAAATCAAAAATGAATATTGATGAAATTTTTTGAAAAGCAGTCAAAATTGTAATATAAAAGAAAAACATAACATCAGTCTGAATGTGATTTTTTTTAATGTCTCATCCTCTCTTCCTTTATATTATTTACTTTTGAAAAGGAGAGCGGAGATGACGTCCTACACACAAAGTATCGGATAAAGCTGTATTGTCGCCGATAAAGATTCACTAAAAGCCGGAAGAAATTGCGGCCTTAGTTGAGTAATGTTAATTGTGTAGTGGACTTGGCTCGGGAAGGAGATCTTGATAATTAAACTGAGTATCTTGAGAAGTTACCCCAGTTGATTCAGAATATATATATATATATATATATATATATATATATATATATATATATATATATATATATATATATATACATGTAGTTGATTTCGAGTAAGTAAAACATAAAATATGGCAATTTTATGTTTGTGGCTTTGTTCTTTGTCAGAAATTTACATGCGAATAAAGTTTTGAATGTATATTACATGTATTATAAGTTATAAGAAATTGCAATTTGTAACAGTTTTACATGTTACTCGGTCGGAACAATGGTAAGCGGTTGGAAAATCTGTAATGGGTCAGTTGTGGAAAAAATAAAATATGTGTAAATTACAACAGAATATCCTTAAAATTCTGAACCTTGCAATTGATAAGTTTGTGTTTTCTTGTATCTATTTAATAATCTGATTTGGAAGTAATTAAGGTTCATGGGGGTAATTGGCAGGTGGTTTGTGAAGTGTAACACCGTCTGTTCTATATTTCTTTAGTACCATGAACTGATTATGGTGTGTACTTCGTCCTGTGACTGCTCTTGTGCGTGGCCCATTGGCTAGAGTCACTGAGTAAGGGGTTAAACCTTACGTCGCAGGTTCGAATCTACTGGGTGACGTGGAGACCGATCCTTCGGAGGAGACCGTATAAATTAAGGTCCCCTGTCGCAGTAGGTGCTGGCACGAAAAAAATCCCTCACTACTTAGAGGTTGTAAGTGCCGATTTGTAGCCCTCCACCGGCAAGTGGTGGTGCTTCAATATGAGTGAAAAATTCTCGAAAGGGCGTTAAACAAACAAACAAGCAAATCATCCTGTGATTTTATTTAAATATATTTTATTGTGTAAATATTAAACGAAAGGTTTTAACACAATATCTAATAACTTCGAGGTTCTCACTTTTAATGGTTACAACTGTCGATGTCAGTAAACAAAAGACTTAGATATCCAAACAGGTTTGCTTTATACATGCATTCATTACATGTTAAATATATAATTTATATACTTTTATGCTGTAATAATTAAATAAATCTACCGGAATCTCTTATAAATTTTTGTTCCGATTGAGAAATACGTTGATTGATTTCAACAGTTTGTGATTTTCCCCCCACAGGTGATTATATTTAATTCAATATTTAATTCCGGTTAATTCAATATTTATTTTAGTAAGACATAAAATGTTTGTAAGGCTCTTTTTTTGAATTATATTTTAGAGGAACTAGGATTTAATTCTGCAAGTGGTAATCCAACTTATACTCATAGCTCCCTTTCTAAGGAGGAAATTCTTCAAAACCATATGTCAGTTTTAAATATTTTTAATTTTCCCAACAATCGAAATTAATTTGAATTACCATTCCTATACCGGATTCCAAAACTCCATAAAATCCTTACAAACAAACTTACATAGCAGGTTCCGGTTAATGTTCTACCATGCCTCTTTCTTTACTCCTCACTAAAATGTTTACAACAATGAAGGAGAAACTTCAGGAGTACAATACAACAGTATATTCGAGGAGTGGTGTAAATCAGATGTGGATACTTAAAAACTTAAAGGAACTTTTGGAAAATTTTAAATCACAAAACTTTAACAAAATCAATAACATCAAAATGTACGACTTTTCCACACTTTATACTACCATTCCCCAAGATAAATTAAAGTCCAGGCTTTTGACGTCATAGGCAGCTGCTTTTTCGATAAAAATGAAAGTCGTAAATATACTTACCTTGTCATTGTTGATTTCCAAAATTATTTTGTTAAATAGACATTTTGATTGTACACACAAGTACTCTTTAGTTGATATTAAAAAGATGTTTGAGTTTCTGATTGAAATTATATTTTGGAGATATGTCTTTCAACAGTCTGTTGGAATTCCCTTGGGTTACAATTGCGTACCCTTATTAGCAGATCTATTTTTGTATTCATATGAAACAGAATTCAGAAACTTCTACATGAGAAGAAGAAAACACTTGCTGTGGCCTTCAACTCGACATTTAGATCTATCGACGACATATTATCAACTGGCAACAGTTATTTCCATTCGTATGTCGACACTATATATCCCAGTGAGCTTGAAATAAAAGATACTACAGAGTCTGACACATCTGTTTCATATTTGGATATTTTACTAGAAAAAAGATTTTAATGGTAACCTAACAACAAAGCTTTATGATAAACGTGATGACCTCAATTTTTCAATCTTCAACTTTCCTTATTTTTGTAGCAATGTACCCTTATCACCTTCTTGTTGGGATTTTGTCTCTCAGTTGAATCGATACGCAAGAGCATGCTCTACGTATGAACAATTTCTAAAACGAAGCAAACTATTGAAACAAGTTGATAACACAAGGATATCAACAGTCTCGTTTGAAGTCATCTTTTCGTAAGTTCTATGGTCGATACAAATACAAACTATCATTAAGTCAAATGCTGACTAACGTTTTTCATACTAATTGTTAGTACATTATACACAGTGAATTGTCTACCGATTTTTTTCTATTTTTTCCCGATCATAACAAGGAAAACACGGCGGGTGTGACCGGTCGGCAGGGGATGTTCAGTTCACCATGGCACTTGATCCTACCTCTGATGTTTTAGAGGTCCATGTTTGCTCTGCTCATGATTTGTATTGTTTAATTGAATACTGTTCGTTATCTCCTTATTTCATGTTTCTTAATAGTTCCTCCATAGCATGTTGGTATTTATTACAACAGAAAAATATGATACGGGTCTTCTGGTTTACCACATGAATAACTAGGACTCACAATAATGTTTCTTCTACAAAGGTCATGATTCAAAGTACAATTGTATCTTATTTTAGTATGTATGATTTTAAGTCGTGTGTTTCCATGACAAATATAAGGAGGGGGTGTTGATGTTTTTCTCACATTGTATGTATATTTTTTTAAAACTAAGAGATGAGCTGTTTCTTGTGAAAATAATTAGACTGTTCCATTTGATTTTCTGCATCAGGAGAAAAAGAATCCACCACAATTGATCTTGAGACAGGAATTGTCATAAATATTCAACTTCTTCTGGTATGAATTTCATAAGCTTATATACACAAGCATAATATCATTTGCATTCATTTTACTCTTTTGTAGCTGGATTAACTTTAACAGATTAAAAAAATGGAAATTGGAAAATCTATGTTAATTTTACCAATATCTTTCATTTACAGAGTAATGACGTCAAAAAAAAAAAGCAAAACCATTGAGAAGCAGGGACTAGAGAGGGCTGTAAAATCCATTCAGGACAGTGGACTTTAGATAGGAACCATCGTGACAGACCGTCATATTCAAATCCAGAAGTGGATCAGAGAGAACCTTCCAGACACCACCCATTACTACGATGTTTAGCATGTAGCGAAAGGTAATAGTATTTTCAACTGGGTGTATTAAATAATTAACTGCTCAGAATTTCACAAATACATGTATATATGCTTTTATAATATTTCTAATGATATTGTTGTACTTATATATTCATTACATACTTGATCGTACCATGGAGCTTTATTATGTTTCAATTTGTGAACTGCTAGTATACTTGCTGCAAAGTATGGCGATTTATTTATGACAACATCATCTGATGAACGACACTTTTTTGAAATGGTTTGGACGACTGATACACTTTATATATATCAATATCGAATTTCC